CCCGTTCCCAAATTCGCCATCGAAGGCACACAGCACGAACACGTAGATAGTTTTATCTACCTAGGGAGCTGCGTCTCTGCTGACGGCAATATTAGTGCAGAGCTATCCCTTCGAATCGGTAAAGCTCGGTCAGCGTTTGCCAGCGTAAGACATTTGTGGCGCCGTCGCGACACTTCACTCTCGTTAAATGGCAGGGTTTACAAAGCCTGTGTACGCGCGACATTGCTGTACGAATGCGAATCCTGGCCGATCCATGTGCAAAACATGCGTCCTCTTTCGGCCTTCGGTAGTAGCTGTTCACGGAGGGTTGCGCACGTGCGTTGGAAACACTGAGTATGTAATGATGACGTAAGACACCGTGTCTTGGGTAAGGCGGATGTTCTGCTTTGTGAGGTCGTCCGGCTGCGTCAATTGAGATGGTTTAGCCACGTTCTGTGCATGCCTAACGAGCGTTTACCACGCCGCGCCCTGTTTGTGCACGCAGGGTTACTGTGGAAAAGGTCGCGTGGAGGTCAACCGTCCACCGGGCAACAACGCATGAACTCGATGACGTCTTGCCTGGACAGCGCTGGCCCGTTCGACTCCCCGGTTTGGGACCAAAAGATGAAGGGTGCCAATGGTTCACAACCCTGGAAGCAATGGCACAAAACCGATCGCAGTGGAAACATTACACGCAAGTCTGCCTGGTTTCCTGTTAAAAAAATCACTAACGCTTAAAACCGCGATCCAACCCTGGGTTGGATAAGCGATTTTCTACATGATGGCCGGTTGGAGGCGAGCGTGCAGGAATCTATGTCTGACAAAACCGAGCTGGAGTGCGATGTACCATGAGGCTTTGGACCAGAGTATATTTGCAAAAGTCTACGAATAGACATAAGGCCATCAGAAACCATGGGATTCAAACGAAGGTATAGAAACAGTAAAGTAAAACATAACACAACAACGTCCATGGTTTCCTCAGAGGGCGAGATACTACCCGGTTGCCCAAGCCGAAGTAGGGTGTTGACTTAGGGGACACCACCCCGAGCCTTTGGCTGAATAGCCTGCCCGCAAGGCAGCGGAGCGAATTCAGGGAATCGCGCCCATTGGGAGCCGGTGACTGATTGCTCAGTTCATACGCCTTGCGTTTGTTCCTTTGTCAAACAGGGGCCCAATGCTCCCCAGAAGTACAGCATGACGTTGCTGGAATACAATGCTTCGCCAGGATGAAGCAAGAGGCAGTGACTATTTAGTGGCGAGTCACGTCCGTCACGTCTCAGTGTTGTTAAACGGACATATGTGGCTTTTTATAGGGAGAACGCTTGCCAGGCGAAAACCCACCACGTCCTGGAACACTGCCGCCGAACCATTTGCTGGAACGGGAAAATCCCGAACCACCCAGCTGGCACCACGAGGAGGTTGTTAGGCAAGCCAGAGAGTCGCCTCTGTTTGGTTTTCATAAACAGTCAATAGAGAGCAATTGATTTCTATCTACCATAGTTCACAGAGGATATCAAGATAGCGCGAACGACCATGGGCTCGGACGACAACGAATGGACCTATCGCAGTCAGTTCAGGATATCAAATCATTCCATGAAGAAAGATGTCAATTTGTTTTACTATGTAACTGATATGCCTAAACATTTACGGAATTTGCATACAGCTTGCAGGCCGGTTCACAGGAACGCGATCTTGATGTGCTCATACAGAGTGACCTCAAGCGTCCAAAACAGTTTGAGTCTGCTGCGAAAAGTGGCCACCAGCAAGTCGGCCTGCTGCGAAAGGCATCCAGATGTTTTGATACATTGATATAGTTGATGAGGCGCATCTCTTACGTGCGTTCTCGCGTTTAATACTTTAACAAGCTTGGAAACATTGGTTGAAGCCTGACGTAGAGGTACTGGGAACATCACAATGCGAAGCAACTATGAACGTCAAGGGTCTACACTATTTCTCTTGCCCGCAAATGCCGACATCACTAGGATGATTCAGCAGTCGCTACTGACAGCTAGACAGTGCTCTCATATTTGTGTACCTTATATATATATATATATATATATATATATATATATATATATAGCATCAGCAGTACTTTGTTACGTCGTACCAACGCTTCGCTGCCACACTTTCATCGGTGACGCGAGGGCTAGGGATACTTCGAGGGTCGCCCGGTTCCGTACACAGACTTGAACTCAGGAGATTCGGGTTGAAAGGCAGGCGCCATGTCATTTCTGACACGAGCCGACTACCAAATTTGGTTTGACCCCACCCACCTATGTCCCCATTTGCTGAATGTCAGGCACTGCACCAAGATTAGGCGTAACTGCCGGAAACGGGGTAAACCATGCAGTTGTCTAGAATGGCGACAGCATTACTTTTCTCTTCAAGTTTGCCAAGCTCAGAACTTTATCTCTCCAGCTCAATTGTCTACGCGCCTACATGTGCTAATTTCGTAAAACGACTGGATATTTTTCTTGGATGTCAGCCATTCATTAGCTTTGATGCGCTACTGCGGAACATCTATATGATATAATCATACTGGATTTAGAAATCACCAGAACCCAAGGAATCGGTATGTTAGTCTGTTTCCTTTTTTCACTTTTCTCATAGAATATGTTAAATACAGCTGCTCCTCATGTTGTCCTGTATACTAACATTCGATTCTCTCATTACGCTTTAGTTATTCAGTGACGCATTTAAATCCATAAACGCCTTAACTAATGGCTCACTTATCTTTTACTTTGGTGGTTTTCACTACGAGCATCCAACGGGACTTGCTAGTCACTTGCAATGTTACCAGTGACAGATCATAGTTCATGGTATTTATAGACGGCGCTGAAACGAACACAAAGACTAGACGAACTTTGATGTCTTATCAACTGGTTGGGTCAATTATCCAACTACACTATTTCCGACTCAATTTAGTCCGTCCATGAGCCCAATTCATTCGGGCGCCAGTGACATGAGCGCGACGACGTACAGCTGTTTCGTTGGCCAAGCGCTGCCAGGCAATAGGATACTGGTTGCATAGGCATATCGACGTGTAGGCATGTAAGTGATTCACCACAACACGGACCGGTTCGCGTGCGAATGGTCACGTGGGCAGTGACAAACCACAGAACAAGGTGCCGGTAATAACGTTAAGATCAGAGGATCAATGCATGATAAGGATTTTGGGCATGGCCCGCAGCACTGCTACTACACAGACTGTTGCCGAATGAGGTCACTGGCTCGTGTATGCTGATAATCAAAGTTCTTAGACTAATCTCCTGGGGGATTTTCCGAACGAAATATCACATGCTGTGGACAAAAAAGTGCGCAAAGCAAAAAGTACATTCCGCGTGGCGTGGATGAAACGTGGCTCCCAGGTCTTATTCCTTCGGGTTCATACTGGATATCTGGTGTGTGTGTGTGTGTGTGTGTGTTTGGAACTGTGGGTGGTGCAGCGCAAGCCACCCATGGTCCCTCTGTAGGCGCAGGCGTCCTGTAGCTGGCCACGGTGACAGGCAAATCCGAAACCGGATGCCACCAACCATATATATAGCAGTATATATAATGGATATTGAGCCATCAAGATACCATGGCAGGAATTCGCATAGTAAATACAAAAGTCAGAAATGATAACACAAATGGGGAACTAGTTGTGTATTATTCACACGCCGCTTTGTTATTTTTTGTCCGGTTAATGCTTGTGGCTTTGCTATGTAGGATCAACGCAAAGACTCACGCAAGCGGGTGCATTGAAGCGTCAAATCATTTGGGCATCAATGCACCGACTCCTTTGCGGCACAATAGTGGTGTTTTACCACCTCTAGCTGACATTTATAATGATGATGATGATGATGCACCGACTCCTTTACGAGTGCGATGGCCGCAACACACGAAGCTTCCTCGCTTCATGCAAGTATGAACAGCGACATGTCAACCTGTGCACTAATATTGTTATGTAGCTGATAGTATGAGTGATCTCTTTGTACTATGGCTAGCACACACTGCTTTATAGCGCAGTGATCGATAAATTCACCCAATAATAATTCAGTAGGAGCAATGCAATGAATGCTTGACAAGCAAAGCGAACTGGTAGGCTGTGAGCCACAAAATTCAGAAGGAAAGTGACACCACAGTTAAGTGTAAACTAATGAAGCGGTGATACCGTACTATACTCAAGTTGGATGAGTAATGATGCAAGACGACGCTGGGAATGAAATATCCACATAGGGAGCGGTTTATGGGATCGTTATACGTTGCCGCGCGCCTCCCCAGACTGAGGATCGGGAGATGCCTTTCTAGTGAATTCGAGAGTGAATAAGTCTCGTTTGATTTCCAGATGAAGGTAATTGGCAGTCACAGACAAATAATGGTAGTGTTTTAGAGCGTAAGGTGTACCAGACTGGCCATCTGGTTATCCATTTAACTGATCGTACAGCAGTGTGATCAAGTCAATGTGAACGGCTATAAGCCACTAACCACCCACACTGTGACCGGCATTGAGTACCTAACGGAGATTGGATGGACGACCTCGATGGCAAACCGCTTCAGATTGGACCGCCATTGAACACTAAGGAAGCATATGAAACACATTGCTGTCAGAGATTAAGCATTCGCCAGTGCGTTGGATACACTGGAAAATGATTTCTGGCCTATGTAATGCTATACCCATGCTGTATGGGCGCGCAGAGTAGTGCATCGCTATTCGAAAATCGTGGTGCCTGCTGCAGACGATTCGTGATACAGGTTTATTGCCTCGCTAGTTTGAGTGTAATGTCCTCACGAACTAAGGCACCGCGTTGGGTTCTCTAAGTCAACCCACTTCCCCTACCTAGCTAACTGAAAGACTCTAAGCACAAAAAGCACACCTGGACATGAATCTACGTAATCCTCGGATCACTTTGTTGACACACTCACGCTAAACTTATCAGTAGATGTAAGTGGTAACGACGCATGCATTGTGATGCGCAATGGACAGTAGATGAAACTAATGAACGATTATGCGTAAAATGGTGAAAAATTGACAAACTCACTTGCGGATCCGTATCGCCTTGTCGCTGGTAACACATGAGATGCGAACTCTCATCGTCTTTGTTCTGCAATTTTAGCTGAGCACTCACTGAAAATTCGTTTGGTGCACTAATTGATCTTGTGACATCATTCGCTAGCTCTTGTATGCACGCCTTCATCAGCTGTTGCAGGTTGGGTGTATCCCGCTCCAACTCTTTCAACATGGTTCCGTTGGTCAAACAGATCGCCACACCTGTAGCTGTTTGCCCACGATACGGTCGACTCAGATCCGCAATACACGTAACTCCCAATTGTAGTCCGGAGTACCAGTGACGTGTGGGAATGGCGAAGCGCAAAGTAGGTGCGGGACAGGAATCCGGTCGGGTGATGCCAGTTGTCTCGCATATTGTGTCGAATAACTCGTCGCGTGCAATACGAAGAGTTTCTGCCTCCAATCGTGGACGACACTTCAAGCAGTGAGTGTCTCCACTGAAGTTGGGTAAAAGGTTAATGGTTCGTGTGGTGGAAAACAGTTCCTCCAATGTGTGGATAATTACACTCCCATGCACCCCCTGTCCAACCGTGCTAGCTAACACGGTGGACAGGTTACTTTGCAGTAGGACGGAGAGCAACGACTTCGTCTCGTTTGTGATACGGGTGTCAGTGAAATCGTCAAACGGTAACAAGAGGACGTATTCGCGACCAGGTAGTGGAAAATGGTGCAGTGCAACAAGGTGTCTGATTACCGAATCCACGATGATCGGTAAAGCACCGCAACCGACAGGGTTGGTTTTTGGTTTAGTTCCATTCGGGTTGACCGCTCGAAGCAACTGCTCTCGACTGAGCTGCTTCGTAAACGCCGTGAATGCCAAGCTGTCCGAGGCATTGTGACTAAAAATGTCGTCGCGTATGAAGTGAAACTGTGTTTGCGTGGGTCCATGTGGCAAGCCCATAATCAATTGCTGAATCAAGCGTAGGTAGAAGTGCCCATAGAACTGTATCTCCCTATCCGGATTCCCTTCAAGTGTGCATCGAGATAGTAATCGGGAACTCAGGAGAACGGTGAGGTCCAAGGGCACAAAACGCGTGGGACAAATCATCACAGTGAAGTGAATGGTTTTTCTTACACTCCAGACCTTGTTTTCAAAGGAGTTGTTGCCCCAACAAGTGTATGCATAGCTCATTCCCCTATAACGGTCGTCAGTTGGAATGATCAGTCTGTCTCCCTTGATGACCAGCCCATTCACCGGCTGATCTGTGAACGTATGTTTTGGTCCAACCCACTGGGCATGATGAGTTGCGGACAAATTGTCGCGGATTGATGTGGATAAGAAAACGTCGAACCAGTCGTTATCGCTCAAAGTCCAACCGTGTCCCAGTGGAGGAGATCCATAGCCACCCACACATTTGAACTCCGTGCCGAGTGGCACTGGTTGTGAATCATAATCTTTGGATAACGTCTCAATGAGCAGTTCGCCATTCGCCGCCTCCAGAACAGCATACGTCATTTGGCAAGATACAATATGCCTGATGAGTGGCCCTTTGTCTGGGAGTTCAAATTCGATTACTGCTTTGCAACTAGCAGTCAGCGGACCTCTGTACAATTTGGATTTGAGGCCCTCGAT